CTCAGTTTGCCCCTGTTTGGGTCATACACCGGCATTGAGACCTCCGTTATTCCTCTTTCAATCATGAAGTCTCGTAGTCTTGTTAGTGCCAACATCACGTGTTCGGGATCAATTGTGTTCCTGTCATTGACCCTCGTCACTAGGAAGCACAGATATTTGCCCGGGACTTGTGCTACTGATGGTGGAAGCGCTGCCATCCCTCCCAGTCCTGGTCTCTGTCTGAACAGAAACTCCACGTTCTGGTACTCTCTTCTGAAGTCAGCTTCCAATCTTGATTTGAAACTCATGTCCGCCGTGATGCAGATCGCGCTAGTCCTGTTTGACAGGATGAAGTCGCTATCCGTTATCATGATGTTTTCCGAGTACTCATTGGGTATTTCAAATTTCGTTTTGAAATTCCGACCTATGGTAGGCTCTGGCTCTTCTTCTTCCAGTTCCAATTTGCTTGTTTCTCTCACTTCCTTGAGCTTCTTTATCATCAAATTTTCGGTGTGGGTAAGTCCTACCCCCACTCCCCGGACAAAAATATTTATCGACGTCCCCGTCGATGTTGTCGGGTCTGAATTGTCCGGAGGAATGTCCAGTGGCCTATCTGTTGCCGTCCATCCGAAAAGAGGGTCCTCTGCCTTCATATAATTTGCGTCGACTTGTTGAATGCTTTGTCCTTCGCGGCTCTCGTCTTTGACATCGCGCATCCACTCTAGTGTCCTCAAGTTCGTGTTCTCCCTCCTCTCTATCTCACTCTGTTCGAGATCCGTCTCCAATTCTGGCGTCGAGTATTCTTCCTGCGGATAGTGTCCACCATCGTCAATGACCTGCCATTCCTCTTCGGCTTCCAGTTCGCCTGCACTCAGTAGTTCCTCGCCCAATTTGTCTGGCTGTATCTTATCGATCAAGAAGTCATCCCCGTACCTGTTGTACCTCATGCCGGTCCGTTTACGATTGCCAGTCCTGGTTCCCGGTGGTATTGGTTGATCTGGCTCCATCCACTTCGGCACCTCATCTTGGTCCGGGTCGTTCCAGTCTTCTTCTACAAATTATCCTGCTTCAGACTCCACTTCTATCTTTTCATTGTCGTCCAAACTCAAGTTCTCATTACCATCATTCTTCTCTCTGGTGCCTTTTTCATTCACTTCACACGCTGGCTCTACCACCAGGTACTCAAGACCCTCCATGTCCTTCGGTATGCACCAATCCTCCGGGGACGGGACGTGAGGCTTCAGATTTTCATAATGTGCCGCTCGCCCAGTACTCAAGCGATAGAACCGTCCTTGTTGATGAACTTCCGTTATCATGAATGGTCCCCTCCACTTCTTGAGTAGTTTCTTTGTTCCCGTGGGCGGTATGACATTTTGGAAGACCCACACGTATTGGCCCACTTCATATGGCTTCGCTTGTAATATTTTTTCGTCATATTTTCTGCGTTGCCTCATTTGCTCTTGCGCCGTGTTCCTCCTGCATAGCTCGTTTAACTCCTGTTGTCTTTTGATCGCTTCTTTCACGTATGCCTGAGGCGACGTCCTTTTCCCTTCGTATTCCGGGTAAAAGAATGTCAGAGGCATTGCTCTCTCCCTACCCGTCAACATCATGAAGGGACTGATGCCCGTCGTTGAGTGCTGTGTACTGTTGTAGGCCCCTACTACCTGTGGCAGGTATTTATCCCAATCCGTCATGTATCTTGAGCAGTACACCCTTAACATGTTGACCAGTGTCCTGTTCTGTCTCTCTACCAACCCGTTGGTCTGTGGATGGTAGGTTGTCGAGTGTGCTTGAGCAATGTGCGATCTCCTCATCAATTCTTTTGTCAAGTCCCCCACAAAAGCTTTGCCGTTGTCCGACTGGAAAGTCATTGGACAACCATACCGCGATATCCAATGCGTTATCAGATGATCACATGTCTCCTCGGCCGAGGCTGTCTGGCACGGAACCGCTTCCGCCAACTTTGTGAAGTGATCTATTATAACCAGTATCTGGTTATATCCCGACTCCGTCATGCAGATTTTTTGATGGTCTATCTGCACCACTTCATTGAATTCTGAGCTCTCGACGGACTTGAGTGGAAACTTCATCTTCCTTGGGTCCTTTACCTGGAGGCATGCCAGGCAGGCATTCACCCATCTCTCGCAAGCTTTTCTCATCCCTGGCCAATCAAACCTGTGAAGTATCCTTTGTTGTACTTTGTCTATCCCCTGGTGCCCCATCTGGTTGTGTGATCTGAAAAGCACCTCCGTTTGATACAACTGTGGTAGTATGATGAGGTTGTGTTTGTGTAATATCTTCTCCTCATCTTTCCTCTTGCATGCTACCACCCCATCAGCTGTGTGATAGAGTAAGTCTTTCTTTTCTTTGTAGAACTGGCTCAAGATCTTATAGCTGTCTTCCTCGAGTTCCCCTTTCTCCTTGACCCCCGACTGGATCCATTTGGAGAGGTTATTTGTCATTTTGTCATTCTTTTGGGCTCTTATTAGGTCTGACAGCCTATATCTTGCCTTGACATGCTCCTTTAGCGCCATGATCTGTCCATTCATCTCACCAGGGTTGTAGATGTCATCACTCAGCTTCACGCATATCATCCTTTTCACGATGTTCATATCATCTTCTGGCACCAGATTCGTTCTGACGTTTGAGTTGCATGATAATTCCCTGAATGGCTTCCTTGAAACCGCAATTTTCTCAAGTTCTTCACCACCTCGTATCTCCTGTACGTCCAGATTGTACGTTCCTGAAGATGGATCCGTCTGTAACTCCCTGTCGTGGTGCCTTGTCTTCTCTTCCGCCAATATCATGCACAGACTGTCTTGGTTTTCGCTGCTCTCATCCGAGTCTTCATCCCATTCTTCACGCTCCCCGGACAATTTTCCCTCTCCGGTTTCTTCTTCCGTGAACATGGAACACTCCCCGGACTCTTGACCTAGTCCCAGGTGTTCAGTATCTTCTTTGAACGTCACTTTCTTTTTCCTAACCTTGGTCTGCTCCAGAATGTTTTCGGGGATTTTGTCAACTAGTGACCGCACGACATCTTTGCTGTCAGTGACGCTTCCTCTTGAGGAGTCGGTATTGTTCACTGTTTCTTTTCTCCGAAGTATAGTGACTTCCGGTTCCTCTTGACCCTTCTCTTGGATCACGGGCTTCTCATCTGATAGTTTCTCGAGCAACCTCATTAAATCATCATCTATCTGTGCAGTTCCTGCTCCTACCTGGTTAAGATCATAGCCTTTTGCCTTGAGCGTCTCCCTCACGATCTTCGACTTTAGTATTATTTCTATTGGAATCCTTTTGCTCTTCTTCAAGATGGTCTTCTCTGGAGTTTCTTTAGGTAATTCAGGATGATCTTCTATCGGTTTGCCTGATTTGTCCAGCCATCTCGTGAGTGGAAGACTGTCGTACGTTTCCTTGTCCATGAAGGAGAAGCCATCTTTGATTTCAGGTCTGTCTGCCTCTCTTTGCTCTTGTCTCTCATAGAACTCCGTCTTCTTACTCAAGCTGTCGGCATTCTGATGTTTATCTCGTGTTCTATGCTCAATTATCATGTTGTATCCGTCCAGGCGAACTATCCACCTCCCAATGTAACTTTGGTCCATTGAGTACGTTTTCAGCCAGCTCAGTGCTCAGTTGTCGACTCGCAACTTGAATGGCTCACTGCCCAGGTATGCCCTGTATTTCTTGACAAAGGTAACCACCGCGAACATCTCTGCTTTCGGTGCTCCGTACTTCATTTCCGTGTCACTCAGGACTTTGCTCCCGTACGCTATTGGTCTCAAGGCTGTCTTCCCATTCCATTCTTGGTCTTGGTGGAGAATCCCAGAAATCGCGACTACCGACGCATCCGTGTCCAGCACGTACATCCCTTTCTCAGTCGGCATACCCAGTACTGGTGCCTCACATAGCTCTTTCTTTATTCTCTGGAATGACTCTTCTGCTGCGTTGTTCCACGTGAACTTCTTGCCTTTGTGTCTCATTAATTGTTGCATCGGGTATACCTTGTCTGCATAGCCCTTGATGAACTCTCTATAATAGTTAGCGAAACCCAGGAAGCTCATCAACTGGTGCTCTGTCTTCGGTGATTTCCAGGTCAGGACTGCTTCCACGGCGTTCGTACCAGGTCTGATGCCGTGCTTGTCTACCATCCTGCCCAAGTATTTTATTGAGTCCTTGAGTATCTCGCACTTTGATGGTTTACACTTTAGCCCCGACCTCTTCATGCATACAAACACTTCGTCAAGTCTCTCAATGTGGTCTTCCAGCGTTGGCGTCGCTATTACCACGTCATCCACGTAGCACATTACCAGGTTGCCATACTTCTTCGTCACGCCTATCAGCGCGTGTGCCATCAACCGCTGAAACGTGGCTGTGGCATTGCAAAGTCCAAACGGCATCCGTTTCCATTGAAACAGACCCAACTCGCAGGCAAACCCTGTCTTGTCCCTGTCCTGCTTCCTTAGTGGTACCTGCCAAAAGGCCGAGCCTACATCAAGAGTCGTAAAAAATTTTGCATCACCTAACTTCGAGAGGCTCTCATCAATCCTAGGTATGGGATAGGCATCCTTCACCGTGACGGAGTTCAGGTATCGAAAATCACAACAAAACCTCAACTGGTCGCCTTTCTTTTTGGCCATCACTACTCCACACGCCCACGGTGACTTGGATGGTTCTATCATGTCATACTCTAGTAACGTCTCGATTTCTTTTCTACACGCGTCCGATTTGTGTGGGGTCATGCGCCTCCTCGCCCCCTCCCTGTGTGGTACCGCGTTTTCCTCAAGTTCTATTTCATGCTCAACGAAATTACAACACCCGATATCCGCCTTATGCCTCGAAAAAAACTTCCTCGTTCCGCTCTAGTACGTCCTTGATGGCTTCGAGCTGTTCATCTTTCAGTTTGCCCCTCAAATGTTCAATCTCCGGCAGAACCGGTTTTTCATTTTGCATTTCATCTAGTGTGGGTCGCTCTGGAAAGTTCGAACAGCTCGACAGCCCATCATCCGTTTCTGACTTAAGTGATTTAATAAGACCTGAAGAATCTTTTATTTTCTGCAATCGTCTCAAGATACAAATTTTGTCCCTATGATTGGGACAATCAACAACTTCATTTTGTTTTGAGTTCTCGATCCTTTCATATCGAGTTCTAACCGGTAAAGCATATCCCAGTTTCCTCCCTCTCTGTATCGTGACCGGTATATCAAGGGTATTCAACAAGACACTGACGCAGAGGCCGCTCTTCGTTATCGAGAAGGATCTTCCTAAAACAGCAGCACTTTGACTATTAGGATTCGGAACTACACACACTTGCTTGTTGTCACTTAGTTCATTGTAATTTTTCATCCTTAAACCTACGATTGCCGCTTCATTCGCTTTTAGCCTCACCCTCCTACTCAAGAATACCGGTGCTTTGTTTTCACTTGCCATTATTAAATTTACCGGTTTGATTGCGTACCTCCTATCCGGGTTCCGTATCCTGAACATTGCGTTATTTAGATCAATCGTTGCGTCGAAATTCCTGATGAAATCTCTGCCCAAAATGAATTGGTCAGATTCATCTAGGTTTTCTACCACGATAAAGCTCATCCACAGGTTACGTTCCCCCAAGTTGAGGGCTATTATCGGCGTCCTGCCCAGCAACCGAAGGGCCCCTTTGTTTGCTGCTGACAGCCGTATTCTCGAGTCTATCAAATCACCTTTGTCAAAGCCCATCCGCTCCCAAGTTTCGATTGGTATTACGCTCAAGACTGCTCCCGTATCAAGTAACCCACGTAGTTGAGTCTTTTTGCCACTTATGTCTAGCACGTGCCCTGTCACATCTGCCTCTGTCCCGATGTGCATCGCATCTTCTTCAAGCATAGCGCAGTGTCCAATCGATCTCACTTTCAACTCTTCTTTGCCTACGTAGATTTGCCCAATTAGGTCTTCGTCACATGTTATCATTGTCTTGGTATAGATGTTTATTCCATCTATATTTAGCATCACCTCGTGTGGACCATAAGCTTCAGTATACCTGTTGTCAACACGTACCGACTTGCTGCCCCCTCTCGTGAGTAGTGCTCTCAGCGCTCTAGAAGTCGTTTGTGGGCTTATACAACTCAAGTAATCTGCGTACACGTCAATATGCATTATTGTCTGGTCGCTCGGTTCGCTCAAGTTTCTGGTTACCTCGTGGCCGCCCACTGTGATTATCGACATTATTCTAGCCCCGATTTTCGATATGCCGAATGGCTTTCCCGTCACCATTTTTACAGTGTTACAATTGCCGGTCTTTTTTGAGCCTGGTACAGCCTCTGGTGTTGGGTTTGATCCGATTAATGCTTCGTTGAAATTCTGTCTTTCGATCTCCAGCTTTAGTCGTTGCTCTATTTCTTTCGCAGCCAGATCCTGTTTCACTTTGGCAATTGCTTCCGTCGCCGCTTTCTCATAGTTTATCTCTAGAGAGTTCCCGGCCGCGGACTCTATCGCACCATTAACATGTGTTACAGCTTTCACTGTTTTCGTCGGCAATTCCGTGCTTGGTGCTCCTAAGTTCCTAGATTCAAACTCGTTTTGTCTATTCCGCTGATTCTGCACTGCCGCTAATGCCAACTTATGTTTGGTGTGACTATGGTCCTTGACCGCTTCCCAGAACAAGGGACAATCCATTCTGAAGTGCCCCTCCTGGTTACAGAAGAAGCATCTTGCGCCTATCTTGATGATTAAGCCACTATAGTACTCGTGTTCCTCCATCTGGCTCATGTCCTCCTCATCTGGGGCATATCCTAGACTCTTCATGCCTTGTTTGTATGTTGTGCAGTCAGCCACGTGGTGATCCGCCGACCCGCAGTTCGCGCATGATCTGCGCTTGTCCATTTCATCTCTAGGCTTGTACCATGACGACCTCTGGGGTTGACTTCCCCCTTGCGTGTTCCTGTTTTCTGAATATCAGTATTTCTTGGGTTTCATCAGCATGTATTCCCTTGATTTCTGTCTCATTTCTTCTGGGGTCGGTGCGCTGTCTTTCGACAATGTGTAGTATGTCGCTAACATTGTTCTTAAGTCATCACTTTTTACCCCATCAATGAACTTCGAGGCAATGCTAAAGTTTCTTCTGTTTGTCGACTCCTCCGGGTCACTCCTTCTTCTCAAGCTCTCGAGGTCATCTAGGAACCAATCAATTGACTCGTCGTCCCTCTGCTTTCTCTTTTCAAATCGCATCATCGCTTGGTGACCCTTCATGCCTGATCCAAATCGATTCAGCAATATTTCGAAGATTTTGTCCGCGGTATCGCGTTCTTCTTCTTTCTTTGCAACCACGCATTTCAATGCCGTGCCTTCCAGGTTGCTGAGTATGGCTGTGCATGCTTGCCTTTCATCATTTAAGTTATCTTGTTCTAGATGTAATCTCATCACTTCCACCCACGTGTCAATGCATCCATCTGAGTCGTCTTTGAATTCTTTTGGCTTTTTGAAAGTTTTTCTTGATTTTCCGTCTCTCCTATCGCTCGAGTTAGTGTTCCTCGTGGCGAAGGCCTCTAGAGTCCTGTTCATCATCTCCCAAGTGCTTGCCCACGTCATGGCATCCGGACCTGCGTTGCTGCTAGCTGTTGAGTCCCCCGGACCACTCGTTGTGTTTGATGTCCCATTTTTCATGATTGTTTTAGCCACCGTTGGTGCAATGCTTACCGCATCCCGGTTTAAAGGCAACGGTGTCGATTGCCGTTTGTTCCTTTGTGGTTCCACAAAGTCCACTCTGGTGCCTTGCGTGCGATCCGCTGCCGGTTTTTCTTGTGAGGTAGAATTTCTCAAGATTGCATCCAACTTCGCCTGTATTGCACACGAACTTTCGGCTTGATTCCTGTTCATTGTGTCCATCCTTTTTTCTAGGCTACCTAATTGGCTGTTGACATCATCATATCGGTTTTTCAACTGTTGCATATCTCTTTTGATGTTCTTATCTCGTTCTTCATTGGTGGCATCTACCTTGTCCGACATCTGCTGGAGTCTCTCGTCTGTCGCCTTTGCCAGGTTAAAATAACTATCCAGATACTCGTGTTTGTTGTATTTCAACTCTTTCCTTATTAAGTCTCTATCTTCCTCACTGTACTTTAGTTTCTTGTCGATCTGGTTTAGTTTTGTCATCAGGTCGCCAAGCTCAAGAGTAGCTGTTTCATGATCAGCAGTTATCTTGTTTTCGGCTGTCGCTCCTGTTCTGACTTGTTCTTCCTTTAGGTCGGCTTCTGTCGCCTTCGCGCTCACTGTCCCAAATGTTCGTGCTCTTTCACTTTTTGATTCTTCGGCCGTATTGTCCTTCGATTTCATTCCGACCATCATCGCCAACTTTTCTGTAAAAGATGTTTTCTTTACTTGAGAGTCGTCTTTCACCGTACCTCGGGTATTGCCTGTTGTGTCTTCCAACGCGTCTATCGGCGAAAACTCCACGGTTTTTGGATTTTGATCTTCCATATGGGGCATCGGTGTGGATTCCGTAGTCTTCTTCTCCACTTCATCTACGCTCTGGTCTGGTGTCTCTAGATCGATTTCAATTGTGGGCTCCACCTGTTTGTCTTTAGCACCTTCTCGCGCCTTGTTCTCGGTACTACTCCTCGTGCTGACCATGCTAACTGAAAAGTTATCTTTCGTTTTGCTTGGGCCCATTGATATCGTTCCGCGCAGCGACGAGTTATATTTCATGTTTGATCCACTTGACCTTTTTTCGAGCACCGGTACCCTACTCCGTCTCATTATTTCTATTTACAATTGCTCTTATTTACAATATTATTATATACACAATTCTATTCTACGAATAAAATCTTTTGTGGAAAAGAATTCTTAAAAGGAAATATACAACGTGATAAAAACCTTTCTTGAAACTTTCTTTATTTGTGGTCCCAACCGTACCGGGTTCCGACTAGTGTTGTTCTGTTTTAAATCTGTCTCAAACACTTATTGTAATTTTACTTCATTTTTTATACCTTCCTAACTTCCAGTTACCGTCCCTACTCTTCTTTGTACCGTCCCAGGTTTTTTTTTCTACTGTCCCAAGACTGTTCGTTACTGTCCCAGTACTTTCCGTCAGTGTCCCAAGACCCTTGTCCCAGGACCACTGTCCCAAGACTGTCCCAAGAGTACTGCCCCAAGGTCAGTGTCCCAAGGCTAGTGTCCCAAGACCACTGTCCCAAGACCACTGTCCCAAGACCACTGTCCCAAGACCACTGTCCCAAGACCACTGTCCCAAGACCACTGTCCCAAGACCACTGTCCCAAGACCACTGTCCCAAGACCACTGTCACAAGACCACTGTCCCAAGACCACTGTCCCAAGACCACTGTCCCAAGAACACTGTCCCAAGACCACTGTCCCAAGACCGCTGTCCCAAGACCACTGTCCCAAGGCTAGTGTCCCAAGACTGCTCTGGTCCAGGACTGCACTGTCCCAAGACTGTTGACAAGTGTCTGAGCGGTGGGACCTCTTTCTTCCTCGTTATGGGGACTTCTTGACTCACTGTACCTTATACCACCACTCAAGCTCTAGTAAAAAATTTCCCAAAAACCCTCTCTTAGTGGCCAAATGCTGACCCCCCTTTTTAGTTACCTCTTTTTCAATGTTCCAAGCAACTTGAAACCAAAACCTGTGCGCAGGTATCTTGTGATCACCTGTTCGTATAAAAGCCAAACACAAATCCTTACCAAAATGCAACAAAAATCTAAGCAAGAAAAAGTAATAAAAACAGAAAGATGAATCCACCTAAAATTCAAAGGTGACAAATGTCTACCTTCTATCGAAAAAATGTCTGGTACCTAATTGCCACGCGTTTCCTTCCCCCCTGCTAGCGATCTTATGGGGTATCACAAAAACTGTCTATGTCCGTTCCCCCCTACCGATCCGATCAGGGTACCTACCTTAACCTAATTCCAATTTTGGATATCCGCTTCCTATGACCAACGCGTGTAAATGACTAATATAACTAAATCAACGATGTCGACTAATTAGTTACTCTAATTTCCCCCCTTTTTACAATTTACAACCGCCAACCTCTAACTT